TATATGTTAGCAGAATGGATAGCGTGCGTGACAGATTAAGCCATTGTGGGACGGTAGAGAATAATTATGTAACATGCTTTAGTCTTTAAACATTGCTTGAAGAGTTACCAAAAAGCAGTAAACGTCGCGAAACTGTTTCATTGCGTGACGGAGCAGATACATAGCGTGACATCCTTCATATTCATAAAGAATTTGCTGCATAAAATGGTCGGCAACGACATCGAATTATGACAGGGACTGATGCTGTATTATAGTGTGACTGTTTGTTTTCAACTGTGAGCGTGACAGTATTGTAGTGATATCCATTGTGTTACCGATGAATAAATTAGGTTATATGGGTAAACAAACCACTTTTTAGGGTCGCCCCTCATATAGTTTGATATATGAAATATGGAGTAGCAATTTACGAAGGAAAGCAGCAACAACGAGATTATGTGACATATGATGCTTTGTCCACCTCCTGGATAGTTGGGGTTCCTGTGTCTTAGAAATTAAGACAGGAAACCCATCATAATTCGTGTGATCTGTTATTGTTATTACTATCCAAACTAACTTATGAAAGACAACATTTCGCTGTATTACCATGAATTAAGGGTGTACTGACATATCCGTTGCTAGGGAAATTCAGTAGTTCTCTAAAATGACAAACAAAAGTAAAATCGCTTTCGTATTGAGTGTTAAGCCTTCCCAAACAAAAATAACATATTCTAGGACGTCATTGTATGATGTCATCGCGTGACGTCATTAATACGAAAAAATGCTATAATTTCATCAAGCAAAGTATATTAAACGATTTAAAATGGATGAAATTAATCTTTAGATTTAAGTCCGTAAAGCCAAGCATGCGTTTTTAGAATGATTGCCAAAAAAAGCTTTTTACGATTTTTTAAATGCGATAAATAAGCGAAAAATGCCAATAATATTTTTTAATTTTTCGCCAAACCCATGCTTGGTTCTGAAGAGGAGGCTATGAAGAACATAAATATTGAAAAAACACATCCATTTGATGCTTCGCACTGAGGATTATATTTTTTAAATGATACCACACATTTTAAATAAACAAAAACCTTTCCACCGGAAGTAAAAATTTTCCCGCCATGAAAACGCACGCGCGCCCGCTTCTCCGATTGGCTAGCATCGGCTAGCATAACAACCAGGTCGTCTAGAAACGGATACGTCAGTACACCCTTAAAACCTATGTATCCTGCCTATCTTGATTTATATACTGATTATTGGTTTAAACTCTATGGTTTGTAGAACTACTCACGTTATAGTTCTAGTAAGCGACTTTCTATTTTACACAACGTGAATATTTTACTGAACTTGAATCCTTATCAAACTCTCCGCAGGATATAATTATTTCAGTCAAGAAAGTCATGTCGTGTCGTTTTTGTGATGATCTTAAATCCTTTAAAGAAGGTAAAAAATACAACAAAACAACAACAAAAACACACCAG